AATGGATTATGAAAATAATAATATTAATACGATTTTGAAACTCATTATACTATGTTTACAATTAATTAATTTAAATTTTGTTGTGTCCAGAATATTGTGATCCTCAATCCCTGACTGATAACGATATACCTAAATATTATACGAGACTATATGAAATAAATTTGTAATGCCTGTAAAATAGTAAAAAAATATTATATATTTATTATATTGCCCAATTACGTCAAATATGTATGTTGTATTTCAACAATTGAACACAAGTGATCTAATTGTTGAGCATAAGTTTTATGTTTTTAATTTGTTACCAATTATGGCGAATGGTATCATCGGTCGAGATATTTTAAGAAAATATAGATATTTTTTTCATTATGATTCGAATATTTTAATATTATATGATCATCTAAAAGCTCATAATAAAGCCTATTTCAAACACGTAATAATTCCTTGGCAACTTTTTTCTTTTATTTCACTAATGTGATAAGACGGGTTAAGATACTTAAAGTTTTGTGTTTAATGGCAAGGATTGTATAATTTATTGAGAGAAATGACAGTTAAAAATAAATTCAGAGAGTGTTATACACATTGGTTAGAATAAATTGAAATATTACCTTACTGCAGCAATGAAAAAATGGTGGAATGTTAATAGGTAAAGCACAAGATCTGGTAGATAATTAGCTATTTCAGTGATAGTCGGGTGCCCAACCGATTATTATGAAAATGCTAAAACGTCAATGAGAACTTTTCGTAGACATCAGGGTTTTGGAAAGGATAAAAAGTACATATAATATAATGTCAAGTTGATTGCAAAACGCATTATTATTATCGCACACCTACATGATCATGCTGTGCGATTATATGGTATGATATGTGATAAGTGCATGTTAACATATTGTTGTAACGTTGGTTAATACCAAAATACGACAGGTTTAATGACGTACGAAATAAAATCGCATGCGTATCCTGGATTGACTCAATAATATTATGTATGACCTGATCATGACCATGAGATTATAATCTTTTTTAAAATAAATTAATTTTATATTTTGTTTATCTGCTTTATTTTACTCAATTTAGGAATTATATAAATTTAACGGATAAGTAACATTGTATTTTATTTTAATCTTCAATATTAAATTTATTATTATGTAGGGTTCATATAATATTATAATTAAATATTTCAATTCACAATGTAATTTACATGTAATCATAATACAATTTTTTTATTATATGTATCAAGATAATAAAATGTAAAAAAAGTAAATAATAAAATGTAAAAAGAAGTAAAAAAAAACCATTTCTTTTTTATTAAATATCGGGGGAGGTGTAGTGTATGTGCCTCCACCAAACTAGCAGTGTAAGAAATACATGTATTCCTAAGTTTAATAAGCAGTATAATTAAAGTATTGAACTGTGCAACACGTATCCTTTTCATTGACACATTTTCCAATATCACACTATAGAGGCACCCGTAGAAGCGCGGATGGTCGTCGCTGTCTACGCGTAGCCAAAGAATGGACAGGTCCGAACCTTCAAGACTGCCGAGGCGTCGAGAGCAGATGTCCTCTCTGACGCATACGCAAACTCCAGCCCGAGGCACAAAGGAGTGCTCCAATTTGTACCCCGGGTAGGAGAGGATACGCGGGGCAGCCTGAGTACCCACGCTCAGGAGTGGTTGTTCGTGGTTGCTCAGCGAGGGATTCTTCAGGGGTGCTGGTACCCTCCTGGGGAAGTCTTTGATGTAATTCCGCTACCATGGTGATGGGGGGAGGGAATTGGGCCTCCGGCCACCTGCACTCACCAGACGAAACGCAGAAGCAGAGCTTCTATTTCATGCCGATATTCTGTGAGATCGTGGTACCAACCCGGCTCGAGCCGGCCCATACGTGCAACAGCAAAAGCTGCCGCGTGGCTTTACCACCGTCAAGTAGATGTCGTCTGGTCGTCATAATGAAGTCAATCTCATTTTTTGTCGAACCGTCGCGGCTCGACCAGGTCCATTACCTATGGGGCCGTTTCTGGAAGAAAGAGTTCATCATAAAGGGTCCCTATTTCTTCATGAAGTCGGCCAGCTGCTGGCCCCTTAGGTTCCGTTGTCCTATTTCAAATTTCCCTACCTTCAGCTCATGGTTCTCTCTGGGGCCTAGTTTTGCGTTGAAGTCTCCCATTAACATCTTATAGCGAAGTTTGTGGAATGCATGGCTCTACGAGTAAATATAGCCTCATATATTTTATGACCTTCAGCAAATACCTGAATTATTCTTAACATATGTTATGCAAACCTCGTCGACACAATCTCAATGTTTACAACGAAAGACTTGTGAACAATAAATCCGACACGTCCTTGGGACAGACGTTCGCCTTCTGGTGATAAAACAAGTTGCCGGATTCGAGGATTATCATGTCCTCTCCCTCTCTTCGGACCTTGGATAATCCTATAAAATTCCAGCGCAACTTGTCTCTTCTTCCAGCTCCGAGATCTTTTTATAATCGGTTTTGTTATAATCGGTTCAGTCATCTCAAAGATTAGCTCTGACAAACAGACAAACGAACATTTTAAAAACGGTTACTCATGTCGGAACTCTAAGGACGCTTTTAGCTTACAAATAAGTGAAACCAAACTGATTTTTTTTAGTTTTTGACATTTTGTTATCATTGATTCCAATAACAAGTTGGACTAAAGTTGTAGAATGTAATATGCCCCCCCCCCCCATATGTTCCCTAGGGTGTCGTAAGAGGCGTCAGAGGGAAACAAAGACAGATGATGGGCAGCAGTGTCTCTCTCATAACAGCAAAACAACAATAAAAAATTGCAGTTGCTAACCCGCTTGACTCAAAACTTGAAAACGAGACTGTACAACCAGTGCCTGTTGCCAGTGATGACATACGGAACTGAGACGTGGTCCTTCACTGCTGGCCGGATGAGGAAGCTCAAGGTCGCTCAGCTAGCTATGGAGAGGGCTATGCTCGGAGTTTCTCTGCGTGATAAACTCAGAATTGAGGATATCCGCAGTAGAACCAGAGTAACCGACATAGCCCAACGGATTAGTAAGCTGAAGTGGCAATGGGCCGGCTATATAGCTCTATAGCTCGAAGAACCGACAACTGATGGGGAAGAAAGGTTCTCGAGTGGCAGCCTCGTACCGGCAGGCGATGTGTTGGGCGTCCCCCCACTAGATGGAGTGACGACCTGGTAAGACATGCAGGAAGTCGAAGGATGCAAGTGGCTCAGGACCGTGCTTTGTGGCATTCCTTGGGGGAGGCCTATGTTCAGCAGTGGACTTTGGAAGGGCTGTTATGATGATGATGATGATGAGGGTGATATATTTCTATGAAAAATATTCTTTAAAACCTCTAGACGTAGAAACGTGCAATCGGGACAATATAAATATCTTCCTTTTATTACGTAGGCATACAATAAGAAACGATTTTGAAACAGAGCTAGCTTTACCTATGGTGCAGTGTGTGTAACGCATATGGGCGCAGGGTCTTAGGGAGCGCCAAGTGCCGCTCGTGACACTGCCAAAGATGCCGCTTTGGCGCTCTCAAAGACACTGGCTGTATTATGGCCGATACCAGGTGCGGTAGCAAAGCAAGGCGCGTCACTAGCGGCTCCTTTACTCTACACAATAATTTTTTTTTCAACTTGAAATCAGCCTTAAAACAGATAATTAATGATTAAATTGGCGTAGTAATAGTATCGCATCGCTACCAAAACCGCTTGCTGTATCTCTGTTCTGTTTCATTTGAAAACACGCCGACATTCATTGCGAACCTGGCTGTATTATAATAAAATAAAGTTCTAATTCAAATTGCCAAGGACGAGCGGAGCATTTTCAAAGGCTCATGTACGCGTGCCGTAATTTGTGTTTGACTGCTACCTCGTAGTTTTGCGAAATAAGCCTTGACACAATGGACTATGTATCATATTTAAGTAAATACATAACTATGAAACGAATCGGCTTTTCTTTTGATAAAATGATATAAAACGTAAGATTAGTTATTTGCCTCTACAATTATTGCGACATTCACCGGAATTAGAGCTCATCAAAAATAGCTATCGAAATTCTATGGACTCAGAATTTCTTGAAATTGAAATGAAATTTACAAAATTTTAGAAATTATTATCCGGCACTTATTTCTGGTACATACATGTAATATATTTTTAGTTCATATAATATTATATATGAACTAAAAATATATTAAATGTATGTTCATATAGACAATATTTTATGTTATTGTATATTGTATTTTGGTAATGCACAATAGTTATAGTAAGCGCCTGATCTCTCTCCGATCATAGTGAATTAATGTCCCATCAGACTATGAGAGTGAGTGAATAGAGAGTGCACCTGTGCTTGATCACATACTCGGGAAATATAATCCTGTCCACCGAAGATGGATAGTTTCTGTTAAGACTGGCCACCGTGACCGAAATTCAGTCTGACTGACATTAGATTAGACTTTTCCTGAGTCACTCAGCTTGTAGAGAGGATTTACTTTTGCCCTCACGATTGAAAATTATAAAAATGACGACGAAGGAAAAAAACCATTTATTCTGCTTTAATTATATAAGAATGATCATCAAAATTTACGTAAAGGTTATACAATTCTTTATTTATAAATTTAAAATATAATGGCAAATTTTAAAGACAAAGGAAATCTAAGTTATGATACAACGTTTATCACAATTGATAAAAAGAAGAAGTAAGTAGGCAGCTTACAAGTTTTGGTGGTGAAAGATCACCGACACCTAGTTCATTCCTATATTATCCTAAAGTTTTCAGTACAGACAAATATCCTAACCTTCTACAAACTGTGTAGTATCTGTATAATATTGTTGCTAATTTCTCTTCATTAAGAAAGTTTGTAGGCGAATTGTGACGATAATCACGTAATAAGGAAAGGAAAAATACATCCTTTCTTCCTAAAAATATAAAATATAATTAATAAAAAAACAATAAGCAAAAATATACAAAATCTTATTTACATTTATCTTATACACATTATGATTCGGGTTGCTGTTGAGGTATTAAAGCAAAAAAAGATGAAGTGTAAACTACTGTAATAATTATCATAAAAATAAAATTTGTAATGCTAGCAAAATCTGTCCAAACGTCTTTAGTATCGACATGTTCATTATCACAGTCGTTACCTCTGGCATTCCATCTAGGCCAAATTAAATATTTTCCGTACCGTCCAGTCATCTTTCGAATAAATATTTCAATAAAATTAGGAGCTGGGCTTGTTTTTCCACGAATGTAACACAAAAAATAAGTAATTCCGATGGCTAATAACGTCAAAATTATTGAAGTACGTAAGTAAAGCAAAACTGTTGGTATTTCTGACATTTTTTTAGGTAGATCAGTGCAAATTTTTCGCAGAAAGGAAAACTGGTTTAGTAAACTAAAACATAGGAGACCTAAACGAGTTTTATCATTGACATTAATTACCATACACAAAAGCGTCAAAATTGATAACAAAAGTGAAGGTACTAAGATAACTGCAGCAAGTCCAACGCCTTGTCGCTCCAAGATAAAATTGAGGTAAAATTTTACTGCAGATTTCGAGTCTTCGCCACTAGAAAAATTAATTATATTCCAACCGGGACCATATTCAGCACCTAGCATGGTCATAACACGTGATGAATTGAAAGTAAAGGTAACATGGTTAAGTTTAGATCTTGAACCAAATTTAAACGTGCAATTCATAGTATCGTAGGGCCAATCTCTCAATTTTGAACTGCAAGCCGTTCGGTGAAGAAATCTTGGAATACATGTTACTTGTCCATTGCTCATTACTCGACATAACAATGATCTTATATCAATTGAGAGAAAATTGATACCATCTTCATCGGTTATACTATAAATTTCCATTCGTGGAGTCCAAATTGAAAAACTTGAAATGAGTACTTCCATAATACCATCATAACTATCCGGATTCCACGCAAGCCTTGGATCATTCCAGAGGAGAAACACCCAGGTGTATATGGTTAAGATTTCTTCATTGTCATCAAAGTAGAATGACTTCAATATAAACTTTAAAGCAACTTGTGTATTGATTTCATCAGGCGGTAGACGTGAATTATAACGAAATAATAAATCTTTACGTAACTCATGTTCCCATGCTGTGTTAGGAGAGTGATTGTCCATCACACTTTCATCACATTTTACAAAACATAAGAGAAAAAATAACAGACCACTTGAAAACACAATCATGTTTACTAACATAATAGTAAAAATGTGCATGATGTTCTGAATTAGTATGATACGTCAACGCCCCCTTTGTTGTGTTGATAATTTATATTGATAACAAATTTACATGTTTTATCTTTTGATATGTATGCTATTGCAATTATGATCAATATATTTAGTAACGCCCTCCGCAGTTGTATCAGTATAACTTATTTATCTCTGTTTCATTTTACTGTCTGCATATTATTTATGTATTGCACGATACATTTCCTATTCTGAATAAATATTTAGTTAAGCAGTAAGAGCAATTAAGTACAACGCTAAGAGTAAGAGCAATTAAGTTAACGGTGGTAGAGCCACGCGGCAGTTTTTGCCATTGCACGCATGGGCCGGCTCGAGCCGGGTAGGTACCACGATCTAACAGAATACCGGCGTGAAGTAGAAGCTCTGCTTCTGCGTTTCGTCTGGTGAGTGCAGGTGGCCGGAGGGCCAATCGCCCCCCCTCCCATCAACATGGTAGCGGAATAACACGAAAGACCACCCCAGGAGGGTACCAGCACCCCTGGAAAATCCCTCGCTGAGCATAAACGACCATGTTATTCCACTCCTCAGCGTGATAGCTCAGGCTGCCCCGCGTTTTCTGGGGTGGTGCAAAATTCCGCTCAAAAACATAACTGCTCGGGGTAAACTGAGCAACAATACCAAGGCGACCCCTGCCACACTATCCGTTAATTTCTGCAACATCAGGGGACTTCACTCGAACCTAAACGCCGTCCACTACCATCTCGAGACGGTGAAGCCAGCTTTGCTCTTTCTGACCGAGACGCAGGTGTCTTCTCCGGCTGATACTTCGTATCTCTCCTACCCGGGGTACAAATTGGAGCACTCCGTTGTGCCTCGGGCTGGAGTTTGCGTGTATGTCAGAGAGGACATCTGTTCTCGACGCCTCGGCAGTCTTGAAGGTTCGGACCTGTCCATCCTTTGGCTACGCGTAGACAGCGACGACCATCCGCGCGTCTACGGGTGCCTCTATAGGTCCCATAGCGGTAATGCCGAAACAGGCTGACTCATTGACTACGTCCAAATGGCTACAGATTCTTTGCTACAACAGGCCCCATCCGCAGAGTTCGTGATCCTTGGCGATTTTAACGCCCACCACGCCGAATGGTTCGGTTCACGTTTAACCGATCATGCCGGGAGATCTGTTTATGATTTTGCCTTGGCATATGGTCTGACACAACTAGTTACTTCGCCTACGTGGATTCCAGATGCGGAGGATCATACACCTTCCCTGTCACCTTCTATAGACCTCTTATCCGTACGGATATCAGGTTACCGTCGATGCCCCTCTCGGCTTTTCGGACTATTGTCTGATCTGGAGTGTGGTGCCACTCAGGCTCCCCTCGCGGTTGCGTTCTGCAGGTTGTCGCCGTGTTTGGCATTACAGGTCGGCGGATTGGCACGGAATGCGGTCTTTCTTTGCGTCATACCCATGGGGGAGGGTTTGCTTCTCGCCGGATGATCCCAGCGCTGTTGCTGACTCTGTCACTGATGTGGTGCTACAGGGAATGGAACAATTTATTCCATCATCTGTGGTACCAATTGGAGGCAGATATCAGCCTTGGTTTGGTCGCTCCTGTAAGACTGCATTACGCAGTAAGCACGAGTATTATCAAGCCTGGGCTGCGGCTTTGGCGACTCGGGATGTAAACACCAGCACACTTAAAAAGAAGTATAACTTCGCCTCCAGGTCCTTCAAAAGAGTTATTGCCAAGGCAAAGTCAGAGCACATAGGCAGAATTGGCGATAAACTAGTTCGCCTTCCTTCGTGAACCCGTGCATTCTGGTCTCTCGCCAAGGCTGTCCAAGGGAATTTCTGTAAGCTATCACTACCTTCTCTACACAGGGAGGACGACTCACTGGCCCAAGCCGCAAAAGACAAAGCCGACCTTTTAGGCTCCCTTTTTGCGTCCAACTCGGCACTTAATGACGGGGGGAAAACACCGCCGACTATCCTGCGGTGTGAGTGCTCCATGCCGGATGTGCTGTTCTCACAGCACTCGGTTCGGCTCCCTGGACATCCACAAGTCGAGTGGGCCTGACAGAATCCCCCCAACAGTGCTAAGGACGTGTGCTCCGGAGTTGGCACCGGTCCTAACGCGTCTTTTCCGGTACTCGTACTCCCAAGGCACAGTCGCGACTTCATGGAAGACAGTATTTGTCCACCCGATCCCTAGAAAAGGCGACCGCTCAGACCCGTCCTACTATAGGCTTATCGCCATCACCTCCTTGTTCTCCAAAATAATGGAGTCCATTATTAACTGCCAGCTCATGCGGTACCTTGATGATCACCAGCTTATTAGTGACTGCCAATACGGTTTTCGTCGGGGTCGATCAGCTGGTGATCTTCTGGTCTACCTGACCCAAGGATGGGCGGAGGCAGTAGAGTCCAAGCGGGAGGCGTTGGCCGTTAGTTTGGACATTACGAAGGCCTTCGATCGGGTTTGGCACAAAGCGCTTCTTTCTAAGCTCCCTTGCTATGAGATTCTCGAGAAATTATGCAATTGGATCACCAGCTTTCTTGCAGATCGGAGCATCAAGGTCGTTATAGATGGTGCATGCTCCGACTACAAGCCTATTAACGCAGGTGTTCCACAAGACTGTAGGCTATCACTAAAGCTGTTTCTTCTGCATATCAATGATATGATGCTTACTGGTAACATTCATTACTATGCGGATGACAGCACTGTTGATGCTTTATATACCGGCCGTGCCAATATTTCTCGGGAAAACGTCGCTGAATACCGAAACAAATTTGTGTCTGAAGTCGAGACTTTGTTGAACAAAGTCTCAGACTGGAGTCGGCTAAATCTAGTCCAGTTTAATCCTCAGAAGACACAAGTTTGCGCGTTTACCGCTAAAAAGAACCCCTTTGTCGTATCTCCTCAGTTTCAAGGCACTCCCCTTCCTGCCTCAGCCAGTATCGCAATCCTCGGAGTCGACATATCGAGTGACGTGCAATTTCGTGGTCACTTGGAAGAGAAGGCCAAAAGCTTGGCGTGCTCAGCAGAGCGGGACAGTATTTAATGCCGGCACACCGCCTGCAACTTTACAAGGCGCAGGTTCGGCCTCACATTGAATACTGTTCCCATCTCTGGGCAGGGGCTCCCCAGTGCCAGCTCCTTCCACTTGACCACATCCAGCACAGAGCGGCTCGAATCGTCGACGACCGAGTCCTTTCCTATCGGCTCGATTCATTGGCACTGCGAAGAGATGTTGCATCCCTTTGCATTTTCTTTCGCATCTACCACGGGGAGTGTTCTGAGGAATTGTTCGGATTAATCGCAGTCGCCAAATTTTACGAACGCACATCGCGGCAGAACTCCCGATACCATTCACACCACCTGGATGATTGGCGGTCCACCACTGTGCGAATTAGAAGATGTTTTCTTCCTCGCTCGACTTCCTTGTGGAATCGATCACCATCAGCGATTTTTCCGGACCGATACGACTTAGGGACCTTCAAGAAAAGAGCGTACTCCTTTAAAAGGCCGGCAACGCATCTGCAATTCCCTCCCTGCTGTTGCAGTTCTTCATGGGCGGCGGTAGTCTCGTTTGCTCTAAAAAACCAAAAAAAAATCTCCTATAAAAAAAACGCGTTGTTTTATTTTATTATAAACTATTTGTTATGTATTGGGAGTGCCGTGTAGTGGCGGTCAAGAATATCCACTACCCCATATCCTCCCGTGGGTGTCGTAAAAGGTGACAAAGGGAAACAGGCAGGAGATGGGCAGCAGCATCTTCCTGATAATAGCCAAATTACAAAAAACAAACTGCGGTTGCCAACCCGCTCGCCAAGCGTGGCAACTATGGCAAATACCCCCCTATGAATGACAGTAACAAAAAAACGGCCCCCAGTCCCCGGCGGCCCCGCTATTCCTGGCTATGGTGGCGACCATGGTAACGGCGGGGCAGGGGGTGCTAAGAATCTCCGGTGGAGGTTCGGTTGCCACCTTAGACGACTCGACCTGGCAACGTACAACGCACGCACCCTGAGGACTGACGAGAAGATCGTGGAGCTGGAAGAAGAAATAGACAAGTTGCGCTGGCATATTATAGGATTATCCGAAGTCCGAAGAGAGGGGGAGGACACGGTAATCCTCGAATCCGGCAACTTGCTCTGTCACCGGGAGGGCTACCATCTGTCCCAAGGAGGTGTCGGATTTATCGTCCACAAGTTAACAACGTTGTAAAGATCGGGAGTGTGTCGACGAGGGTTGCGTACCTTATACTCAGAATCACCAAACGGTATTCGCTGAAGGTCATACAGGTTTACGCACCAACCTCGGCACACCCCGATGAGGAGGTCGAGGAAATGTATGAGGATATCTCTAGAGCCATGCATTCCTCCAAAACCCAATATACGGTGTTAATGGGGGACTTCAATGCAAAACTAGGCACAAGAGAGAATGGTGAGCTGAAAGTAGGGAAATTTGGAATAGGCAGCTGGCCGACTTCATGGAGAAAGAGGGACTCTTTATGATGAACTCTTTCTTCCAGAAGCGGCCCCACAGGAAGTGGACCTGGTCGAGCCCCGACGGTTCCACAAAAAATGAGATTGACTTCATTATGACGACCAGACGACAACTGTTCAGTGATGTCTCCGTGATCGCGAGGGTGAAAACTGGTAGCGATCACCGAATGGTAAGAGGCACACTGAACCTAAACGTTAAGTTGGAGAGGTCTCGTCTAATGAAGTCAACGCTCCGTCCCCCTCGTGCTCTGTTCCAAAGTCCCGAAACCTTTCAGCTCGAATTACAAAACCGTTTTCAGTGCCTGGAAAACTGCAATGAAGTGGACGATATGAACGACAAGCTCGTGGAAACTGTCCATGCGGTCGGAGCTAAGTTCTGCAAGACCCGCCGCAGAAGAACACAAAAACTCTCCGATCACACTCTTAATCTCATGGCTGTTAGACGGGAGATGAAGCTACATTCTTCAACAGACTTGACAGCATACAGGCA